AATTTAAATCAAATCAATTTTTGGTGTGACTACCCTTTGCCTTCAAACAGCATCAAGTCTTCTAGGTACACCCGCACAGTTTTTGAAGGAACTCAAAACTGCAGGTAGGTAGGACCCAAACATCTTGGAGAACTCCCCACAGTCCTTCTTGGATTTAGGCAGCCTTAGTTGCTTCCTTCTTCATTTAATCCCAGACAGACAGACAGATGTTGAGATCAGGAGTCTGTGAGGGCCACACCTGTACTCCGTTTGCAGAAATGCAGCCCCAAACTTGCTGCATTTACTGTAAGAAGGTTGAAGGCATTTCCTACCTTCAGCCAGATATTTTAGATATTAACTCATCAGTCCAGAGCACCTGTTGCCATTTTCTGCACCCCAGTTCCTGTGTTGCAGAGCATAGTTGAATAGCTAGGCCTTGTTTCCATGATGGAGGTATGGCAAGTCTTCCATGAAGGCCACTTCTGACCAGACTTCTCCAGACTAGATGGTGTACCAGGGTCCCACTGTTTTAGAAGAAGAAGATATACTTTATATGTTTTCTGCAGCTCGGAGCCGATGGCCCTGCCGGACATCTTCTGATTGTGAATGGAAGTAAGCGTGACGTGTCTTTGATCTGCTGCCGTAAGTGTCTTTGGCTGACCACTGCGTCTACAGTCCTCAGTGTCCCCTGTTTCTTGGTGCTTCTTCAAAAGAGCTTGGACAGCACATCTGGAAACCGCTGTCTGCCTGGGAGAGACCTTGCTGATGCAGTATAACTACCTTGTGTCTTGTTGCTGTGCTCAGTCTTGTCAAGGTGTGAGCAGCCTCACCTTGTTAGCTTGTTAGCTTGTTAGCTTGGCTGTTCCTCACCCAGTTGTGTTCCTCCTACACAGCTGTTTCTGTTTCACTTGATGATTGTGTTTCAACCTACATCTTGAATTGGTGATCATTAGCACCTGTTTGGTATAATTGTTTAATCATAAAGCTGATGATATGCTTACAAAATCTCTGATTTGATTTGTTCACTCACTTGCATTTTGTTAATAGATAAAAATAATCTATATAATCTTTCTGTAAAGAATTCTTACTTTACAACATTTTCCACACCAGCCTAAAACGTTTGCACTGTACTGTGTGTGAACCTGAAGCTGAGCATATCAGAGATTTAATACACAGTGTACCTCCCCAGGGACACTACATAGAAGGAGTTATGGTAAATGCTAAATGGATTGCACTTATTTAGGCCCCATCCACACTTCTCCGTTTTAGTTTACAAACAGAGAATTAAAACAAATACGATCACCGTCCACAGCAGCGTTTTAGCTACATATCAGAGTTGATCTCTGTCTACATCAAAACGCACATCTATTGGGCCTTCAGGTGCACTGGGCATGCGCATGCAGGTGTAAACATGAAGCAGATGGTCTATTCCGTAGTTACAGAAGATTTGGTGAAAGAATAAAGAAATACAGATTTTTTTTGCATGCACCAATAACAAGCTGAGACTGTTACTGAATGTAACACGGGAGCGTGGCGGTGGAAAACAGACTGGGGGTTGTTGCAAAGTAAACGGCGACATGCACAGTTGACTACAAGTGTAGGCACATAGGCCTCACTGTTATTTGCACGGTACAGAAGATTTTAATAAAAATACCAACTCAAAAACTCAGTCAGTTGCATTGTGATTCTGCTTTGCGTGACTTATAAGACCCAATCAGAGAGCCGAGTATGAGCGGCTGCGTCATCGTTTCTAAAGTCCTCCCTTTTTACAGTCTTCACTAAAACGCCCGCCTGAGTTTCAAAACGGGTTCAACGGCGTTTCCAAACTTCTCCGTTTTAGGTCTTCGTTTTCGCTGTTGCAGTCTGGACGGGATGTGCAAACGTAGCAAAAGGTCTCAGTTTTAATTGGAAAAACGCAGTAGTGTGGATGGTGCCTTTGACCCCTCAAAGTGTCTACAACTCAACATTCACCCATTCACACACTGCTGGCAGAGGCTGCCGCCTGCTCGTCACAAAGAGAAACTAATGACACTCACAGTATCATCAAGGACATTTCAACATGCAGACTTGGGGGGGGTGGGGTCATCAACGTACCCCCTGGGAGAGGTGATAAGTCTGGTTGTACTTCCACATGCGCTCCATCACCAGCTCCACTGTGTCGGGGTCAGGGGCCTCGCCGTGGAAGTCCAACCCCATGAGGGCAGCCATTCTATGCAACAGGCCGGGGATCTGCTCCAGCTGCTGACGGGCATGATCCACACGGTACGTCCAGGCGTGATCCACCAGGAAGACACTGCAGGCAGAACAGTAGGAAGATGGACATTCAGGTAAAGGCTCATTTTAAGGTCCTATCATTAAAGTCCACAAGTGACATTCTCTAATAATGTGACATTATCTAATAATGTCACTTTAGAAAAAAAAATCTGACAATTATGAAAACGAATGATGTAATAACATTTCATAATAATTTGTTGTGTTTTTAATATTGATCATTCCAGAACGGCTCCTCTGTCATGGGGCTCTTGGGCCTGTGGCGCCATCACCTGGTCGGCTCTGAGGCTTGCAGCCCACTCTCCCGGGTCACAACTACTTTACAGCTGATCTCTGCTCCATGGCTGTCCTTCTTCTCACAGTTCTCCTCCTCATCTTCTTGTTGGAACTGCATGATTCCGAAAGCTTCGCCAGCATCATAAATCTATAACATATAAAAAGAACACGAGCACATGTTCTCATCCTGTCACCAGATTTCATTAGAGAATTTGTCATTTTAAAGTTTGCTCGATGGCCATATAACACACGCCACTGACGCTGCTTTAATATATTGTTAGTTCCAGTCTTCAACCTGGCGTATATCAAACGGCCCAAGAAGCAGCCCCTGTTCCAAATGTCTGAACACACACACACACACACACACACACACACAGGGTAAAGCTTTTAGCCGCTCTATCGGGTGCGCGCATTACAAAACCATGATGGACAAATTAAACCATCAGACTTTTTACTGAGTTTGGCACAACTCCCTGCCTCGTGGCGTAGCTGAGTTCACATGCAATATTCGCAGATGCTCGCCGAGCCGTCACACAAGCTCAGGATGTGCATCTCAGCAAAGGGAAAGTAACGTCAGTCCTATTTTAATCCTAGACTGTATAAAAGATCTTAATCCACAGCAGCGGCTGTGCAGCAGGACACAAGACCGACGGGAAGCTGTTTCTGTTGCTCTACAGCTACTGACACACTGGATCACAACGCGTGTGCCCCGCTGCTCTGAAGTTCACTAAGCGGAACACGGACCTCGTTTGCGATTTTGTGGTGCAGGCTCCTCCAGTAGATTTGGGGGATTCCTGAGGACTGCAGGGCCCCGGCGTGTAGGGCCACAAAGGCTGTAAACCCATCGTCCTCGACTCCATTCATAATGACAGGGTTTGTTATTATGCTACTATTAGAGTTCACGTTATCACTCACGTGGAGGTGACTTGAGCAAACCCGGAAGGAGTACGGGTAGTGCATTGTGGGAGAGTTTTAAAGGGCTCCATCTGCTTTCATCTACTGTAACTGTACCTCTTTTTTGCATGCAAGAACATTTAACCCTGTAACGCCAAGTGCATCATATATGATCATGATACATGAGTTTTAGAGAGCTCTACATCATCAGTGTGATATTCCCCCACCAAAAACCTGATGTATACAATCAGATACATGCAATGCACGGATAATCCACCAGGGGGCCCAAAATCGCCCACCACAGGTCCTTCAGTTGAGACAGCCAAAATGGAGGTTGTCAATCGGTGACCTACAGGTGGTTTTGCAAATTTGCTAATTTTGAAGGAGTTAAGGTGAGAAAAACTTCAAATTGTTTTGGATACTTCAATATAAATATTTACTGGTTTAAAGCAATGCATAGTTACTTAATATTTCACAACTTATTTTATAATAAAATTGTGTTGAAAATGCGTGTATCAAATTAGATCCAGCAGGTATATAAGGTCATTTATGTATACATGTGTAACTCAGTTTTATTGCATATCATTCATTATGTATTCTATTAAGCTACATCAACTTTTTGAATTATTCAAGTAAACTAATTAAAGGCATCATTTGGTATATTTAGAGCAGAAACTGAGAAATTTTTGTAGCCTATATTTTATTTTCCAAGACTCACTTCATAATAATTGTTTTTGGGCATTGATTTTAAATAAAAAAAATTACCAATTCAGAGGAGAAATACGCAGTAATTTGTGTTTGGTTTGTGTTTTTTAAATGACAAAAAAGTACAGCATTGAAGATATCCTGAATATGGGTGGCAATTCAAGTGATATGGAGCACTTAGGGGAAGATGATGATGCTGCTGAGGCTTAAAATATGTTGTGTTCTGTATATTTGTTATTGTTTTTTAAAAAGATGTGGGCAAAACAATGCAATAAAGTCTGAATGTATCAAATATGATACAAAACAAAACTCATTGTTTTTTTCTTTGGCATTAGGTATAAGAACCACTCCATATTGAATTTTCCTTGTGGAAGTTTGATGGTTCAAGCTTTTCAGGGTTAAACCTGCATTAATCCACATTTCTGAGTGTCAGAGAATTGCCTCTCTGCATCTTTTGGTCCTGCAGAGACCCTAACTGGGCTGACAGAGCCTAGCAGCTCCTGGAGCGTTACATCACTACTGGTGCAAAATAACAAAGTGTATATCCTCAAGTAATTTACTTCAGTAGGAGGTTTGCAGTTCTTTACCTGAGTATTTTCAACTAATTTAAACTTCTGCTCCATCTCAGACATAGAAGTCTACTTATTAACGTTACCTTGTAGATTAACATTTTCTATGCTCCACACACTGCAACAAACTTCATCTGGCGAAAGTCTGTCATCTGCCAGTGAGGTCATTTCAGCCTGTTTATTAGAAGTCAACTGGTCTATGGATCTATAGAATAAGGTTGCATGTTTCTTAATTCAAAAGCAGTAACACATTTCTTAAACAATAGTTTGCATTCAAAGTAAACAAGACAGATAAAATACAAAAAGTGATGTGTCACATATTTATTCAAATAAATAGAATTGAGCATTTAAATTTGAATTATAAATATGGACAAATGGAATTATGAAAACCTCAAACACACTCCCAAAGCTTAATGCTGGCAAGCAGGAAATGGTACAGTTTAAATAAGACATGTAGTAAAAGGCCTACGTATGTCTGCTTAATGTGCCAATTTGTTGTATTAAAGCAGCAGCGGTTTAATAAACATTCTCCACCACTAACATGTAGTTCAAATTTAGAGTGTCTCTAACAGCCAAGACACCATACACACATTAGCTTGCTTGGCTGAATTCGTAACCAAAGTAGTAGACTGTTAATCCAGTTTTTAATTAAATTTAAATAAAAAAAACATACATATGTCCCCATATATGCATACATACATTTATAACAGACCATCAGAACATAAAATAAAATCAATCCATTTCAGTTTTAAGACATTTCAGTGTAAAACATCTTCTATCGCTCGGTCTCAACAGAAATGCAACTCTCAGGGGTGGGGGGTACCCAGCCCAGACCAGACCCCCACTACTAGTTACTTCAGTTCCTGCACGAAAACAAGCATGTTGAAATGAAACTTCCCATTCTTCCTTTAACACTAATTAAACATGTTACATCAAGTCATGGACGTTTGCTTCTTTTGGTGCTTGTTCCCAATGTGGATTACTGATGAAGACCAGATCCTCTTAATAATGGATTAGTGATGGTCATTAACTGGCACACTGTCACTTAACTTGTACTGGCGTCCTCCCTGAGCCCTGGCCGGGTTATCAGACCTGCAGGGTTCAGGTCATTATTAAACGGGGCCATGGTCACTTTACTTCCTTTGTCACCGTTGAGTCCTGGCATGGTTTGTTTGTGCTCAGAAGAAAGTGAAGACAGGATGTTTGAGTCCTCAGAGCTTGTTTAGGACTGAGAGGCCATGAGCAGGCTGTTTAGGAGAGGGCATCAGCTCACCATCATCATATTTCCCAAAGGATTTCAGTCAGTAAATTGACTTTTACTTCAAAGAAACACTCAAAAATCATATGAATCTAATGTCTCGCATAAAAGCCACCCAGGCAAATGCTGTACCAAGGAGCATGTTACCATAGTAACAATCAGGGATACCTGCTGACCAGCGGCACCAAATGACAAAAAAGAAGAAAATATGGCTCATAAGTTGTGTTTTTTGGACAATGTTGTGGAGCAAGAAACGAGACAGGTAAGAGTTTTAAAGAGCACAGTAACCGGTGAGGACAGATCAGCTACAAACAAAAGACAAAGTGAAAGCAGTGGTCTCACACAGCAGTTTAAAAAAGTCATTCGTATCTAGTCAAGAACTAAAGCTTTGTGCAGTGGCTGAATTTAGCCATCCATCTGAAGTCTGAATATTAGTTTGATCTAAGACAGGTTTATCTTTGTGAAACCATTTTCTGTATACCTGTTGCCGTGGTTACAAACTGATCTTGTAAAATCATGTAACGGAAGATTGCATCCTTAAAAGCAGATTATAGTTAATCTAGTGTTTGAAATTATGCTAAAATCAGACATCTAAAATCCTGTCTGCTCTGCTGTCTTACAGTCAACAAACAGCACCAGTTGTGGATCAATGCAGCAGTGAAATAACAGACTTTTAGTCCCATGTATCAAAAATCCTGGATCCTAGACTTGATAGTGTCTTTCCCTGCCTGGTTAATGCCCATGTCTTTCAAACTCTATACGCACCAGTCTCAGTCAAGTTACTAATCACATGACTAGTTAAATGACTGACAGGTAAAACAGGTGAAGTGGTTCTTTAAGGTTGCAGAAAATAGTCTTGGTTAAATGTTTAAAAAGTCAAGTCTCTGGTGTCCATGTGCTTGAGAGATCCAACACTCCGCTAAAGCTCAACAGTTCACTCATGAAAATGAGTTGCATATGCACACATTTTGTGTAAATACTTGAAATTACATTATCTTTATACACAATGACTCTGCCATCATTACCCAGCATCCACAGCTGAGCATCAGAGAGTGGAAGTCTTTTGAGTATGGCTTCAACTTCACATCTTCAGGAAACATTCTTTGGCATTGCTCCACACTTGTATTCCCTGCAGTGGGGAGAGGAAATAAAAACCTTTGATCACGAACATGAACATTACAACATTACAGCTGTCCTGTCCCCTTCACATAGCTGATGTGCTGTACCTTTTTGCACATGCTGATCTGCATGACAGCATAGTTGATGAGCGCCTCCCGCAGATCTTTGTCTTTCTGCTCCTTAAAGCGCTGCATGTCCACCCACGCCCTCTCGACGTGTTCTCTGCAGTAATACATTTAAATCAGCACAGGACAAGTCAGAAACCCTTCACACTCATTCTGCCAGCATCACACAGAGTCCAGGACTCACTCGCATTCCACCGTTTTCTCCTTGACAGTCTCTTCACCCTCTGCTATCAGCTCCTCCAGCAGCTTCAGTCTGGCCTCCCTCTGCTCAGGTGCCTCCTGGCCAAAAAGCTTGTTGGTCATGCCTTTGAAGGAGAAGGTCCGCACAATCTGAGAAAGACACACACACAGAGTCCTCCTCCTCAAAGGCCTTACATTGGTTGTCATTACAAAATCAGCAGTCACTGCTCAACAATACCAGACAAAGTGTATAAGTCCAGTATACCCCTGTGGCCAGTTCTTCACGCTGCTGCTTCTTAGAGATGAGGTCCTGCGAGGCCATCTCAAGCTCAAACTGGGTGAGCTCATGTTTCCTGCAGACTGCCCTGCCAAAGCAAAGCGCACAACATAACATCATTATCTGCTCTTATGCTCTAATACGAGCCTCTGACATAGCAGAGGAGAGAGAGCAAGAAGAACCACATCAAGGGACCCCAGATGTGATACATTAAGACCAGACATCATAGTTCATTGCTCTGTGAGTCAGACGTGTACTGTACACCGACTTCATTTATGATCCAGTTGGAAATAGTCTTTGCCAACATTTCTCTTGTTGCACCTCCATGTGGTTCGTCCTCTGACAAGAACTTTCCCACTGATCCAACACCCCAGCTTTCTGAGCCACAGCCGGCTCATTTCAGATGTCTGGACCTCTGGTTTCATGCTGGTAAATGCTGCTGGAATAATCAGGCAGCATCAGGAGCTGTGCTGGATGTCCCCATCGCCAGCCAATACTACTACTGATCTCATGACCTTCTCCACATTCTAACAGAACGTTGCTCTGTAAAATCTGCAAGGTTTCAGTTAACTGAGATCAAAAATATCAATCTACAGCTCCTGACAGTTAGTCTCATTAGTATTTCATTGCATTGATTCATTTAGCTGACGCTTTTATCCAAAGCGACTTACAATTGCTTTATCTGTCAGAGGTCGCACGCCTCTGGAGCAACGAGGGATTAAGTGTCTTGCTCAGGGACACATTGGTGGATGTGGCACAGTGGGGAATTGAACCCTGGTCTCGCAAAAAAAGGCATGCGTCTTATCCACTGTCCCATCACTACCCCTTCCTAAGTGGCTTATTGAACAATTTTCCCCATTTCTGATATGTTTATAAACAACAACAACACAGATTATAGCTGTTACATGTCTGAGCCATGATAGCTGCAGGAAATGAATTATGTTATTTAGCGGGGCTGCATTCAAAATGAAAGCAAGTGGAAACACAACAGAGCAGAAAAACTTAAATTCATTCGAGGCACTAGTTGACTTGCTTTATCATTTCAGGCCCTGTCCAATATTCAGTAAATATCCACGTGACCTGAGTGTAAGCTTAACATGATTTGCAAATGTAAGCAGCACTTTAATGTTTAATGTTTAAAACTCTCAGTAATGTGTGATGTTTCAGTATTACTGTATATCTAAGCATCACAAGCTTATCAAACTTTATCGTAGTTTAGAGATGTCTTGAGCCTATTCTAAGGACTTCCCTTATTTTGATCATATAGTAACATGTTCATGTGCAACACAATAGTGACTTGATGATATTTTTCAGCCTGTTGCAAGTCTTTCTAGATAAAGGGGTTGAGTGAGCTCATTTTTCAAGACACCTCTGAGGACCACCACACCCACAGTGTGCGGTGGCAGTGTGGGCCAGTGCAAGTGGGAGAACATGAACTTTGGGCCCCAGGATTGCAGCGATGCAGAAATGCAAATGGAATCCCGGAATTTGATAATACAAATGAAATCAACTGTAAAAACGCAGAATCTGCCAAAATGTGGATGCAATTTGAAATTTGGATTTGGATGTTGGAAACCTGGGTCTTACCTCAGAGCTTCAGCATAGGAGAGATATTCTTTTATTTGGTCTGCATAATGTTCCTCTTCTTCTAAGATATCATCTATTGAGGCAGCATATCTACAGGTGTGTGACAAAAAACAACCTCTGTCTTAACAAGTAACACAGCTGGTAGTAAGTAACAATCCTGCAGTATGTTGGACATAAATCATATCTGTTGAGGAATTGCATGAAACTTTATAAAAATAACATTTAAATGGGATTATAACATGGCAGCGAGCCCAGACTTTAATACTCACGCATCCATATGATGACCTGCACTTTGCAGTCCATCTCCCATCTCTTTCTCTATGGCGCTCCACTCACTGCAGTACACACAGTTTCAAATTAGCAAGGATTTGGAAAAAGGAACAAGGAACATTTGAAAAAAGACGCTTCAGCTACTTAAAGGAACCACACTCCCTTGACAAAAAAAACCCATTCTGACTCACATATATATATTAACCATTTCATGTGATATTCTACTTCAGAACAATGTAAGAACAACTATTACTGAGACCACTTAAAAAAATTGCAGTTGACCATTTAATGTCCAGGAATTCACTTAACAGCATACTAACCATACACGGTCCAGCTGCTAGGTTTCTGTCTAGTGATTCTTTTTTAATGGATTAATGTAACCATTTTCTGTTGATTACTCACTCATTACTTTTACTTTAAAATTCTGAACGACATTAAAAGAGTCTACAGTTGTGTAGATAGAAATGGCTCATTCTAAGGTAATAAAAACATAATTGTTTATTATGTAAGGTCTTTATACACCACTGAAAACATCACTAGATCCTCAGAAATATTACACACTGAAACTTTAAGTCATTTTACAACAGGAAATATAAAAAAAGCCGAATGTTAGATTATGCATATATGAAGGAATTTAGGGGTTCTATGACACAGGTTTCCCCAGATGATGTTAGCGTCAATTGTTGAGCTAAAGTAATCCAAAGGTGACAGCCAGGGACTCTCTCTGCCTGCTTGGTCGATTGACTAATGCAACTGTTTTGATACTGATGCACTGCTATGCTTTTGTTAGGTAACCCAAGGTCAGGGTTATCTTTATTTTGTTTCTTTACAGACAGACTGAGTGGCTCTATGTAGAAAGTGTTGCATGTGGCTCAAATGACACACAAAGGCTACGTTCAGACTGCAGGCCAATGTGACCCAAATCCTGTGACTCAGATGTGATCTTGGAATTCACTTGGAATCTGATCTTTTCCAGTTCGGAATTGGGCCACTTCCATTCGTGGTCCAAATCCGTCACTGCAGAGCAGCTGTTCTGCTGCAGACGGAGCCACGCTGCACGAAAAAGCTCCACAAAAAGCCTTTATTAAACATGTGGCTCTCTTCCTATCATCTTCTCACAAATTCCCTTTCTTACACCTGAAATCCACCGGACCGGAGCTCTCTTCTGACTTAAGTGCATGCAACATGTCCGAGCGGGCAGCCGACAGAGCCGACAGAGTGGGGAGAGAGAAGGGGGGGGGGGGAGTTGTGGGGCAGTTGCGTTGTCCAGCACCAGAAACCGTAAAGAAAAGGTAGTTCTGAAAACTTCAGGAGAAATGTGACCCGTGAGAGGACAATAAAGAACGGGAGTCTCCCGCGAGCTAACCAGAGCTATGTTGCTCCTTGTTTACTTCTGTAGCCTGTGTGACACCAACATGTGTGACCTCATCAGATCAGATTCTGTGACCCAAATGGAAAGTTAAGCACCAGAGGCTAATAGGGCACCACTTGTTGGGTCGCCGTCTAAAACACTCCCTAACTGCAGCTTGTTCTCCGAGGGAATCGCCCCAGGCCTACCATCTAATCTTGTTCAAAGGTAGCAGCAAATCTGCTTCTGTGTCTTTTAGTGACACACCGTTTGCCCTGTTCAAGTTTTTAGTTTTCCTTATCCTAACTGAGTCTATGACAGAGGCTGCTGGATTCTGTACAGAGGGTAAAGCTGATACAGTGAACTAGTCATCTGTGATTTTGGACTAAAGTGGATATGACCTGACAGTGGGACACTGGGACTGTACACATTCATCAACAGTTCAGGGCCTTTTTTAGTCACACACAGACATTGCTATAAGCTTGTTGTCAAACCTGAAGACTCTCCCATAGTTTCCATGGACCTTGTAAACACCGTAGAGTCGATCTGCAACCCTCTAGAAGAGACGCAGGAAATAAACGAAACTAAGTGTTAACCCAGTTTCTTTTACAGATTAATATCATTAGATTTTCAGGTTTATCAAATTTCTCAACACTATTTTATACAAATGACTGAATACTGTTACTGTAGCTGTCCTCAAGTAGCCAAACATCACTTATTGCAGGTTTAAAGATTTTAAGCAAACATAAATTCACTTACTGCTCGTGCTCGGAGCAGCTGCGATGTGTAAGACTGCAGCTCATCGCTGTAGTGTTTCATTTCCATGAAGCGTCTGAGGGAGAGAAAGTAAAGACACAAGTACAGAAGACAAATTTCTTTTAGCAGCCACACCACCACGTACCCTGTTTCTGCTGAATGACTGATGCTAAGCAGGTTGGGGCTTGACTAACACTTAGATGGGAGACCACTTAGGAAAACTAAACTGCTGTCCTGACTCACTGTGGTCATTGAAGATCCCAAGGCACAAACTCAATTTCACTCTATAACCTGTTGTATTGTGACAAAATAAATCTACTGACCTACAAAGAGCAGAGGGTCCTGGGGCCGTATTACAGAGACTTCCTAACCTGCAGATCCTATCGTAACTGCTTGGTAAAAGGCCATTACAGATTAACAGTTCCTACGTCAATGTTTCTTTCCTAACTTTGGATAACAAAAGTATTACAGAAGCATCCTAACTTCGTAAAATCTTAAATGAACTCTCCTAATTTTAGGAGAACTGTTAAGCTGTTTAACTTTACTCTTCCACAGGTAGTGTTTGCTATCTCATTTAAACCACATGGCGGCTCTTTAATTGCTTTTACAAAATCAACAAAATGTCAACAGGCGGAAGTTATTCATTGATTCTAGTGATGTGTTTGATGACAAAACACTTGTAGATGTAATGCTAAATAATGTGTCATTATATAACATAATGTAAAGGCTTGATGTGACAAAAGTATCCTAATGCAAGTCTTTAAAGGAAGAAATTCAAGAAATGCAAGGAATACATTATTTATTAATTATTATTTTTATCTTCATTATTAACTTTCCCGAGAAGAGTACGGGTTTCTGCCGGGGTCAGTGAGGGAGCACAGGAGGAGCCACCACTGCTTTTCCTCTGCTCTTTGGACACAACAGCTGCCTTTCTCTTCGTATCACTTGTAAATGGGCTCATTTTCTTTTTAACAGCATCAACTCTCTGGATCTTGCTGGATTCTGGATATGCGGCGGTGACTGTGTCCACTATTTTAGCCCACTCTCTATCTTTAATATCCCGAGTTAAGCGTTATGTGAATTTGGATTTCTCGACGGAGGTTGCCAACACCTCTAAGTCAGCTGACGTGGAGTTCAAGGATACTTGTTTCTGCTCCACTTTTCAGGGTATGTTTCATTAAAAAATCCACCAAAAAACAGCGATTAAACGCCGTTTACCTTGTGACATGAGAAAATGGCATCGGTTGCTATGTAACAGACATAAAAGTTGATAACTGAAGTTGGATTGAGTATTTAGGATTTCCTAACCTGAGATAAGACAGGATGAAGTAAGATAAGATAGGATTCCTAAAGTTAGATAGGATTTGCTTCTGTAATACAAATTGAGAAAAATCCTATCTTAGACTGTTCCTGTCTTAACTTAACACTTAAGATAGGAACTTTCTGTATTACGGCCACTGGTTTCCTGGCTGTCTCCATCTGGCCATCTAATCATCCCCTAGTGTAACTGGCTCCATGTTTCCGTACCTCAACACGTTCGGACGCATATGGCTGCCGTGCATCACCCACTGTTTTCTTTTTTGTAAAACTTTTTTTCCCTCTGATGGATCTAGAGCTGCAGCAATTAGTCAATTATTATGTTATATTTTATTATTGATTTATTCTTTAAGTAATTTTTCAATGAAAAATGCCAAACTTTTGCTGGTTCCAGGTTCTCAAATGTGAGAATTCACAGATTTTTGGGGTTTTAGGCTTTTGGCCTAGATGGATCTACACGTAGGGTGGAGCACCTTTTACAAACTGAAAAAACATTATGCCATCATTCTGTATAAACAAAATGGATAATACTAATAAAGAGAATAAAATGCTTCTACTTGCAAAGACTTGAGCTAACAGCTTATGTAAATGTACAGCCAACTTTAAAATATTACTCTTAATAACTTTGGATTAATTACTCTGATAATATTTATACAATTGAGCACCTCTTACAATGTGCTTAGGAAACACTAACTTACTTATCTGGATTTCTCACCCTGAAGGTGGCACTGAGCGCTCTCAGCCTGGAATCTGCCTGCAACAGAAGAAACAGGAGGCGGTCAAGCTTGGAAAAGAAAAGTGCCTGTAAAATTAAAGAGATAGAAGCTATACCTTTGCCTGAAATCCTGTCTCATATACCACTTCCTTCCAGCCATGTTCCTGCCACACAGCAGTGAGAAACGTTATTCAGTCAGCCACTGATCTACAGAGAATGTCCTGAACTGCTGGGCTGACCAAGAGCTGAGCACGTACCTCGGTGAGAAAGTGGTAGAGGATCTTGTCATTTGAGAGGACTGGATGTGATGCCACACGAAGCAGAAAGTTCTCCAGCCCGACCCTGCGGCGCTCCACAAAGTCTGGGTCCATGTTGTCTGCCGACAGCTTGTGCCACACAAACTCTGCCTGCAGAACAAAGAGAGTGCCTGTACTCAGCGTTCACCTGAGAAGACATTCCTGCATCCACATCTTTTACATCTTGCTTGTTTTTCTTTTATGTTTTGGTGCATCAGTTTTACTACACAGTTGAACCGTTCTCTCCTTGCTCTGCACTACATGCCACTGAGATGAATAAAGCTCTAACCTGACCTGGTGTTGGCTTTGCTTATTTGTAGCTAAGTTGATCTCTTTTTTAACCTTTAACCTTTATTAAAGAGTGTGTTTTGGCACTAATCAATCTCTTTTGTGCACATTTCACTCTCCTTGCTCTATTTTTTAAATAAAAACATTTAAAATGATTCTTTCAGTCAGGTGTGTCTTGGGGTGGTCCATCCACCCTGCAGTCTTTACTAGCTGTTGTCTGAGTCTAAGGGTGCGGTCCACACATGACTTACGTGAATGACTAATCACTGAACAGATCTCTGCCTCACTGCCACTAACAACTGTCTCCACCTGCTGGCATGTAAAGCCGTCTGCTCCCAGCGCTGTTCCAAAGACTTCTATTCCTGTCATCATCACGCATAGACCAGTAAACCGAAATGTGCACATCCCACACAGAAATATTAGTAATCTCTTAAGGATTAGGACAACTGCACCAACTCCAGCACCCAGAACAAACTCATTTAAAATGGCTCTCTTCAATGTGAGATCTCTGTCAAGTAAGACTTTTATCTTAAATGATTTTATCTTGTCTGCAAATCTAGATTTTATGTTTTTAACTGAATCCTGGTTGCAAATGAATGACTATAGCCAGCTAGCTGAACTGTGTCCGTCTCAGTATGATTGTTTTAGTCAACCGAGGGTCAGTGGTCGTGGTGGTGGGCTAGTGAGCGTGTATAGGAAAAAATTTAAATGTCATCAAGTACGCTGTGATGAATTTAACTCCTTTGAAGTTCTCACTCTTAAAGTTGGAGGGCTGCAACCTATCATATTTGTTATAATTTATCGCCCCCCAAAACCGCCTGGAGGATTTTTATCAGAACTTCCTGAATTTTTATCTACTCTGGTTTTAAATTATGACAGAATTGTTCTTTGTGGCGATTTTAATATTCATGTTGATGACCCCACCAATGTTAATGCAACTGACTTTTTAAATATGGCCACTTCTTTTAACTTCAAACAACATGTCAAAGGGCAAACACATAACCGTGGTCATACACTGGACTTGGTTTTTACCCTGGGTGTCAGCATTTCCTCTGTGGAATTAGTGGATATGACCCTATCTGACCACAGATATTTGAAAATAACAGCCTGTTACTCATGCTGCCTCACCATGCTCTGTGTGTTCTCGCATCTTTAATGAACAAAGTGTTTCAAAGTTTTGTACCTTCTTTCACAGCCAAAGCCAACACCTGTCTGATTCCAACACCAACAATCTGGTCGATCACTTCAATCATATCTGCTTGTCGTCACTAAATATTACTGCTCCTCTAAAGGTTAGGCCTACGTCTAAAGCTAGTAAGCAACCCTGGATAAATGACAGCATTCGCAGCCTAAAAAGGGAATGCAGGAAAGCAGAGCGCAGATGGAAAAAATCCAGTCTCCAAGTCCATTACCTCAGTCTGAAGGATTTATTAATTAACTACAATAACATGGTTAAGGATGCGAGAACACACTATTTTTCTGAACTCAGGTTTCTGTTTAAGACTGTGGATCAGCTGGTAAACCCAACCCCTCCTTGTGCCTCAGCTGGAAGTAATGATGACTGTGAATTGTTTTTCTCTTATTTTACCAATAAGGTGGTGTCAATCAGAGCCTCTATTACCCCCGCGGCCTCTTACTCAGAGGTTCCTCACCAGCAACAAGAGAGTTTTAACCAGTTTTATCCCATCGACTTGTCTGAGCTTTTAAAAACAGTATCACAAATGAGAGTGTCCTCCAGCCCACCTGATGTAATACCTACAAAGTTTTTACTGAAAGTAATAGATTCTGTTGGGCCCCATTTGATCTCTGTTTTCAACAGCTCCTTATCTACTGGTTGTGTCCCTGATTATTTTAAAACGGCTTGCGTGAACCCACTTTTAAAGAAACCTGGTTTAGATCCCTCCCTCCCAAATAATTTTAGACCAATTTCAAAACTGCCTTTTATTGCAAAGATTCTAGAAAGAATTGTGTCCAAACAGCCGCTCACTGTACTGGAAAATAACAAAATATTTGAAAAGTTTCAGTCTGGTTTTAGGAAGTACCACAGCACTGAGACTGAGACTGCTTAAAGTCACCAATGACCTTTTAATGTCTGCTGATGAAGGCATGTGCTCAGTCCTGTACTCCTGGACCTTAGCGCTGCTTTTGACACCATTGATCACAACATCATGTTAGACAGACTGAGGCACTGGGATGGGATCTCTGGTACTGCCCTAGAATGGTTTTCATCCTACCTGTCAAATAGGAAGTTTTGCGTGTCTGTAAACAACTATGTCTCTTCGTTCTGTCCAGTTAAATATGGTGTGCCTCAGGGGTCGGTCTTAGGACCCATTTTGTTTTCCTTGTATCTGCTTCCCCTTGGACATATTATCCATAAACATGGCATTTCTTATCATATTTATGCTGATGACACACAAATATACTTGCCCGTCAGATCCACAGATCCTGGAATGCTGAGTTCACTTAACAACTGCCTTTGTGAAGTTAAAAAATGGATGTCAAATAATTTCCTCCAGCTGAACTCAGACAAAACAGAAATCCTGGTCATCGGGTCCCAGCAGATGGCAAATCAAATACTGCCATCTGCTGGTTCCCTAGTAAATCACATTAAGCCTGTGGCAAAGAACCTTGGTGTTTGGTTTGATAGTAATTTAAATTTCGAGCAGCACACCACAAAGCTTGTTCAATCATGTTTTTATCAACTTAGAAATATAACAAAAATTCGATCTATGTTAACTTTTAAGGACACCGAGACCATTTTACACGCCTTCATCTCATCACGCCTGGATTATTGCAACAGCCTTTTCACCTGTTTAACCCAAAAATCTATTGATCGACTCCAGACTGTCCAGAACTCAGGAGGAAATCAGGTCAGCTGAGTCAGTGAACTCTTTAAGTCCCTTCTTAAAACATACTTTTATAAGAGAGCCTTTCCCGATCTTATTTGACTTTATTTTATCCCTTTTATTTTATTGTATTTTACTAATTTTATATTTATCTTAAACGTGTATTTTAGTCTTTTCAATGTTTTCATGCTTTTATCTTGTATTGTTTTTGTATTATTGTCTCTTGGGTATAATTGTCTTTACACTTGTTAAAGCACTTTGTAACTTGTTTTTGAAAAATGCTCTACAAATAAAGATTATTATTATTATTATTACTCACACTAGGCGATTCGTACCGTGCCCAAGCAAGTTTAAGTAATTTGCTAGGTTCCTTACATGCTTGCTAATAACTAAGTGGGTCTCCGACATTGACAGTTGGGTTGGACAGATTTGTGCAGCGGTGTTTATGAGAGAGAGAGAGAGAGAGAGAGAGAGAGAGACACAAGGTGCTGCACAAATACGCAGCACTCTGCAATCAACTGCGATTTTAAACAGGCCTAGTAAAAAAATCACATGTCAATATGTACATTGATACTGTGGCGGGCCGCCACAAATAAATGACTTTATGGGAAACACTGACTGAGTGATGACGTAAATGTGCTCTGGCTCAGATCATTAGGCACAGTGTGAGCGCAGGCCAGCGAGGGAGGGGGGAGGGGGGACAACCGTGCTCGGCATGGTACAAGGCAACCAGGCCTAGTGTGAGTACACCCTAAGATGTTAAAATAACCTGTTATAGTCTCTCTTCTCTTTTAAGTTATTGCATTGTTTTAGACATCGGTGAAAACATGCATTCGCTTGGTAAAAGTGCATCAAGTTGCTGATAAAAGAAAAGTCTTGTCGTTTTTGTTGGAATTTAATACAGAGGCAGCCTACTAGGGAAAACGCTGAACACTGGATACTGCTGATGTTTTATTTTGACCACATTTATGTGCGATACAGCCTTCTTCACCTTGGTACAAATCATTTTAGTACCTCAGAAGCAAGCATTAATGTTGCATTATTAAACAATCAAATAATTTTAGATGGAGAAACACTTTTTGAATACATTACTTTATCTTTTTGAAGGTTTTTTGGGCAGCCTATATTGGACGGTGTACAATAGCGTACAGGGAGCTGACAACAAATGAGGAGAGAGAGGGGGGCAAAGACACAAGCCAGATTCGAACTGCTGATGTTGTAAAGAGTCAGTATCTTCAAGCTGTAGACACCCAGGACAGCCCTAACTTTTCTTTCTTAAAAGTGAAGGTATTTGTAGCTTAATGGGTGTATATGCGTGTTGTCTTGCCATCACATTAACTGTTTATTGGTCCTACGCTGTCTCTACTCTCTTTCTTCCTGGTTAAGAAGTTAGGTTTAAGCCTGTTTGGTCACAGAGAAAGACAGGTCCACATAGGGGACACTGCCGGACATTGACACTCATGAGTCTTATTAGTGTTGAACGAAGGTGACTTCTTGACTTCTGTGAAGTGCTGAAAAATGAATCAGGGGTCCTATGGGAGCCAAGCTGCCTCAAAACACTTTTGGTTCCATTAGGTCGGCCTACACCACAGTTCTAGGACAAGTTATTTAAAGTCAATGTATATGTGCAGCAGAGCGAGAGGTTCATCTGATGCAGGTTATATTAGAGACAGGCCTTTATTTCTAGTTCCCTGTCAGATAAGTAGATTTGCTCATAAATGGGAGCGGTTAGCTCACTTGGTTAAGGCCCAAAGAGTCCTTACTGCAGCAGCCCGTATTCGAATCTAGCCTGTGGCCCTTTGCTGCGTGTCGCCCCCTATTTCTGTCCCTCTTTCCTCTCTATCCACAAAAAAATTCCACAATATTCAACAAGTATGTTTGCTCATATTTTAGTGTGAAGCCTCCTTCTTTTCTGATATGTAACATTTCTGATACTGCTTTGTAATGTTAACACAAACTCAACACTTCCTCTGTCCCTTTCAAATAACAAAATAAAAACCATTTAGCACTTCAGTAGACAGTATCCCAAAATTCAGGTACATTCACAGTTCCCATACGCTGCTTCAAATGTAGCTTTTACTATGTTGTGGTACTTGTGTTACTACAAAATACAGCTTGACATTACACACACACACACACACACACACACACACACACAGTGAAACAGGACTAACACTTTAGATGACAATCCAGAACAACAAAGTGTTGAAAAGAGCATGATTATGTTCTTGAATTTTTCAATTAATGCGATGGAAAGCTGTTGAAAATGTCTGTTTGTGAACGCTGCTCTGTGCGCCTCTACGTGTGACGCCTATACAGCAGCTTGTTTGAAAACGTGTTTGTTTACACCACACAAGTTTAAACTTTTTGTAATTATCTAGGGCTGACCCCGAATTGTCGAAGATTTGATGATTTGATTTAGGAACCTGATTCGACTCCTAATCTCACAGTCGAATCTTCACATATGGCTATTTTGGCTGTATGGGTGTGCTCAACGGGTTTCTCTCAATAAGTTAATATACCGCCTGATATAAGTATCAACATATAATGCTGTAACATTAGAAAAGAAAGAAGCTTTTAATAAATCTTTTAAAGTATGTGAATAAATTCAAAATTTTAACCCTACACCTTAAGGTCGGGGGCGTCAGTGTGCATGTGTGTGTGACAGAAGAGGGAGAGACTGAGCACAGCGTACACTGTGTTGACTTTTGCCGACCGAGCAGGCACAGTTCTTATTGTTTATAAAATATGCATTCACTTCATATTTGTAATTTTGTCAAATCATCTCATTATTAGAACTAAAATACATTGCTTATAAAAAGTGTTTGCTTTAGCCAGTTAAATGGTGTGGTGCACACGCACGATTTTGCACATGATTGGGATGATAACACCTCCGCCTTATTCTGAGTAATTAGTGTGCACATTGTGTAACAAGAACCAGGAGCATGCCCCCAGCCATTATTTGAGAGTTTTTATACTAGACTCAGTCTACACTAGTGGCATAAAATGAACAAAAAGACATTAAATCATTATTTGAATATATTATTTGCATGACAATTACTTGTCCTCTAAAGAGTCATTATGGTGACAGTCCTACTTGTCCTGTCATGCTATATTAGATATGTGTTGTAGGATATAAAGCAAGGGTGTGCAAAGCAAAGGAAAGCCACACTGAACTCACCCGCTTTTCAGGCAGAGGGGGGACCACGGTGTAAGGATAGGTAACTATTAGGTAGTTCCGCAGCAGTTCAAATTCACTGTATCTCCTCCACAGAGAGTCCGGTGCTGGGTTACGACCTTCAGCGACTGCATCCATTGGCCTTAAACCACAAGACAATTTTGTTAAGTGGTTTTGGATAGTGACAAAAGACAGAAGTGATTTCATGCAACACAGAGCTAAAACAAGAGGAAGCAGAGATACGTTAAATACATCTGAAAAGTAACATCTCTGCCCGCAGCACTTCCTTTCAGATGACTCAGGTCAGTGCTGTTCTCACCGTGTCTCGATGAGGTACACGCTGAACGTCTCCTGCATGTTCACCGCATTTTTGCCGCTCCTTTTCTCAGCCTCAGCAACACAGATCTCCATTCTGCGCAGGAGAGAGGAGCCCTCCTCCACCATCTGAACCATCACAGGACACGGTGTCATTAACATCCTCTGCAAACAGCTCTGTGTCAGCCCGTAGTCAGACACTGGGCCAGTGTTCCCACCCGTCTGCTCATGCGCGGCCCCAGTGTGTGTCTTGTTAGCAGGGCTTCTAACATTATGCTGCTGTATATATGAACTATGAAGCGTTATTTATTCATATATTAAGCGAACTGAGGTTAACGACAGCAGACTGGGCGAGACATTCATCTCTCCACTGTCCAGTGTGGCTGGCAAACAGCAAAGATATTACCCGAATTATGCCTAATGAACGTGTAAAAACTTACATTTAACTAGCTTGTCTAACGTTACAACATAATGTAACATTAGGTTGGTTAAGCTAGCTCCGCCCTGAGCTTTAAACTCTTAGCCAATGTTAAATACACTGTAGCGTTAACGCAGCCGTTACCCGCTGCGGTGTCGTTGATAAGAGCAATGTTTCAACAGGAGGAGAAGCTGCTGTTTTACCGCGTTGGTGAAGCTGCTGCTCCCGTCTACAGCTGTGTGCTCTGAGTCCTCGTCAGCGGCCACAGACTCTTCCCTCCCATCCTCCGCCATCCTCGTCTTTCCTCCTGATGTTGCTGGTAAGCCAGGGCGCATGCGCAAAGCGTCACAATCAATGGAGGAAAACTAAAATGACAACAAAAGCAGTTTTGCGCCATTAAGGCTGTTTTCTTGTTTGGCTAATTTAATCATAAAAAGTTTTAGACCATTTGTTCTTCCACTGTCACGGGCTGTGTAGCCACTGCATGACCGTTTGCATAGCAGGTTGTCATCATAACATGAAGACCTGCGGACTACATGGAGTGCAAATGACTTAGCCCAGGACATCATACGAGGCATATTTCTTGACGATATGACACATACATGCACGCACAGATTATAGATTTTAGAAAGCAATGTGAACAGCAATGTGAACACCATACATTTCAGTTTGGATCAACGCCCGTGAAGTACACAGCTTCTTAGAAATATATTGATTTCGACTATAATACAAATAAGAGCTTTACAGGAGGAAAGGTTCCAGGGGTCATACTATGAAAACTTGTCCTGGCCTTGGTTTTTTGACCTTTCAACACTGTAGGATTCTGTCACGACTCCCCAAAACCGGGAGTGACAGTTCTGTGTGTTTCAGTGGATTTTTGTTTCTTCTGCTTTTTGAGCGAGTGAGGATGTCTGTGTTTTCGGGCTTGGGCTGTTTGTTTTGGTGTCTCTCTGTTCTCCCTCTCTTTCCTGGGGCTGAGTCTTGTGACTGGGCTCATTGTGGCTGGCATTCTCCGCACCTGCTCCCGATCAGCTCTCATTAAAGAAGTCTGGCAGTCTTTCCAGTCTCCGTCGGATTGTTAAGTCATGTTAGTGAGAAAAGACGCCAAGGCCAATCTGTTGACGCTAGGTTCTGTGTGTATTTCTTGTGTGACGAATTCCCCTGTCCTCTGCAGGTTTGGAGCTCTGCTGACCTGTTCTGTCGCCAGATCTGACTGACTTAAGCAACGCAGAGAAGCAGCCGCTGTTTGCCTGAGACAGCTGTCACTACAGTCTGCCCTCTGCTTTAGCCCATTCCAGTAAACTGTTCTAAACTGTCGGTTGTGTTCTATATGCTTTTGGGTTCAAACCTGACAAATTCAATGGTTGGCTTAATTTTATGCCATCCAGAGTTGATCCATTAAGTGCTTTCTTAAGGTTTTCATTTACAGTGAAGTAGGCTAGTGAAGGGGACATGGGGTGGGACAGAACACACAATCATTCTTGGATGAGAGAAGATGCTGCAGTATTTTTTTCATTATGTTTACTCTGATAAAGATTTTATTTTCAGGAACAAAGCTTGGGAATTACATTTAAATCAAAGCTTACTACACACACCCATATCTAAAATATCATTTTAAACCTTACCACTGGCAGTTGAGGTAGGTAGATATAGAGGTATTCTGGAAAAGCAGTGTTTGTTTCATGTGATATGTGTTATTGAGGATGAATTTCATCACAATAAGACATTTCTTTGATTTAAACTGAAATCCTCTTTCTTTGAATCTGTGCAGATAATGTGGAATGATTTGAGGTGTGGCTATCTAGGTTGCTGTTGTGGTCGAGTTGCACCGTTTGGTGTTCAAGCTTAAAAGAATTTCACAGCAAATCAAAATAACTTTACATTCAAGTGATACATTACATAAAAGAGATTTACAAGTTGAAGGTCACACCAGTATCACGGCTGCACTCGATGAGCACAGACAGCATCAGTGTTTCATTTTGGCAAGTTCAGCAAAACCTTCCCAACAGCCATCATGGAGATCTGTTGCTGGCTCTAAACACAGGAAGTGGGGCCAAATTAAACTACAAGTAGGTATTGGTCAGTAATGTTAGTGACCAGTCTGATTTGGAAAATTTGTTTTAATAAATAAAGCTCTGTGATGAAGTAAACTGTTATTTCAGTTAAAGGACACTTTACTTTAGTATAACTTGGCTATAACTTTCTATCAGTTAGGACAACAATCTTCTCACAAAGTAATCAGCAGGGCTGAGCGGTAGCAATAGCCACAAAGGGAATACTGTCAAAAACACAAATGGTCAGACTTGTGGATTAAGTGTGTATGTAAAGTATGCTTACAAAAGAGCCAGGCAGACCTCCAATAAGGCTGCCAGAAGTTTCATCATGTCACCTAAAAGCAGTCATATATATCACACAACTAAAAATCAACAGACATGACCAAAAGGACATACAGACGGACACAGTGAGTCACTTGTGAAGACACAATGGACTCTTGATTCAATTAACTGTAATGAAATGAGGAATGAATCCTGCTGCTGTTGAGTACATTTTAAACAAACAGGCTCACGTTCAGTGTTGGGTTACTGTAATAATATTACTTTTCCCAGTAACCAGTAGTGTAAGGGATAACTATTTCCAAAACAGTAATATTAGAGTTACTAATCCAAGTGCACCATCTTTGACGTGAATGCGTGACTGTGCAGCAGGTCAAGGGCAGTTCAAGTCAGCTACCAGTCAAAAAGTTAAAGGAAGAATGAAGAACAAGGGAGAGAGGTGTTCTTTCTATTGCGTCCGAGTCAAAGATACAAAGTGAAAGTAATATAGTAACGTAATGGTAACATAACTGGTCACCCAATAATAAGTAAAGTAATATTATTACTTTTTTTAAGTGAGTAATAAGTAAAAAGTAACTTATTACAATTCCAGATTAACCTGCCCAACACTGCTGACGTTAGACTGGAAAACCAGACACATATAAAACAGGTCATAGTCCTGAGTTAGTTGCGATGCTGTCTTCCAGAGCACTCATTAAAATATAACACGCTTGGTGCTGCCTTGAGTGTTCCGAGTCAGAGATTAATGTGTTTCCTTAAACCATTCACACACTGCTCCTTTGTCAAATTTTTACAATCACTTGACCAACTCCTTGCAGCGAGAGTGGACATTTGACCACATCACTCCTGAAGTGCATGTCTGAACCACTTCACTGCTGTGCATGGCTGTGAGGTTCATCCTGCGAGCCGACAAAGAAGCAGACTTGTTGTGGAGAGGAGGAGGTGATGTGAGGATGATGGTGGGAGAAGGATGAGGAGGGGGAAGAGGATGCAGATTTGAGGGTCTCCCCGTAGCTGCCGTGGAGGTCCAGGGAGGAAAGGGCAGGCGGGTTGTCTCTCTGCATGGCTCTGTCACACTCTGTGGGTAGAGGTGGCGCGCTCAAGCATTTCCTCAGGTACGGCTCGCTGTAATGTCAGTTACAAGGATGTTTAGAAGTTTGTTTCACTCATTTAAAACAAGAGTAGTGCATAGAAGCAACAGGCAATAAAGTTCGAAGGTTATTCGTCCACTGAATGTCTGGGCCACCGAGAGCCACGCTTCCGGTCTCAGTATGCTTCAAAGTCACTTGGTTGTAACATGTCGTCTAACTATGTCTAAAAACAAAAGTACAAGGTACAAAGCCTGCAATCACAGAAGGGTGATGAGTTTACTAGTTTTTTTTGCAAATGAAGGTTTAAGGTCAAGAAATCACTTAATTTGTATATGTATTTATTTTGGCATTTGGTCAGAAGTGATTGATCTCTGACCAAATGCCCCTCTCTCTTAAATATGTAATGCCTTGAACTCACTACAGGTTGTTTTAGGCCTTCCTTTCATTTGAAAGTGTTCTAATTTCAAGTTGACTCTAAGTGATTATGTTCCCGTATTACTGTGTGATCAAACATACTGTATGTAGAGGCTTAAAGGTCCAGTGTGTAATATTAGGATCTATTGACAGAAATGCAATATAATATAAACACCTATCTTTTCAGTGGTGTATAAAGAACCTTACAAAATGAAATGTTTTTATTACTTTAGAATGAGTCATTTCTATCTACTGTACATACACCGCGTGTCCTGCTTACACGGAAGTCACCATGTTGCGCCGCCATGTTTCTACAGTGGCCCAAACGGACAAACTGCTCTACAGAGTGCGTTTCGTCACTACGTTGAATAAATAGAGGAAGAAGAGTGTGGCTTTCCCCAAATGGAAGGCGCTGATGCAGGTCAAATGTTTTCAAAGCGATGCTGACGTTCTTGGAATGTTTTGAAAACTATTTTTATCAAGAATTGTTTATCTTTTGCTCAAATGACATACATTTGTACACCCAGCACTTATTACTTAAAATACTTTCAAGTCAGACTGACAGGATCAATGTCACACAATCTGACCCCTTATGTCAACTATTAGAACTGTGTGGGAACAGGACCTATATTAGAATTTTTCATGGAACTTTCCACCACATCAAAGAGGTAAATACTATGCTTTTTACTACATTTATATGACGGCTTTAGTTACTAGATACCTCACAAATTAATATTTTGGAGATAAAACCCATAAAGAGCATAAAATATGATGATTGTTATAAAATAAACTACTAGTTAAATTAACTAGTCTATACTAGTACAGCTGAAACGATGACTCGGTTAATTAACTGAAAATCAATTTTGATAATTGTCATTTTTCCTGTAGAAACATTTGATGGTTCAGCTCCTCACATGTGAAGATCTGCTGATTGTAATAACTGTAATGTCTGTTAGTAACGTTGAGCTTTGGACTGTTGGTTGGACATAACGTGTTGTGAAAGTGTCACTCTGGGCTCTGGGTAACTGTGACGGCACAATCTTTACAAACTAAACAATCAATCGATTCATGGAGGAAATAATCAGCAGACTGATCCAGAATTAAAAGAATCATTAGCACAGTTGAGAATGAGCTCCAGCTCAACAACTACAGCAGCAACATCCTGCTTTACATTGATGAGGAGGAATAATAATCTGAGAGAATATATAATAGTACAACATTTAACTGCTTTAATGCTTTGAGGACATTTTCCTGATTATATTCCTAGACCATTATTCAAATACAGTGTGATCCCTGATTAGATCGACCACTGAATGATGGTAGGTAGGTGAGGTACGTCATTTCATATACAACTTACATGGTTTGTAATTTGTGTTGTGTGTGTGAAGTTGGATGCCTGGGGTCAGTTACCAGGAAAAGCATACCTTTTATAAAATGCTTTTTTGTACAGTTCCACATTGGTATTCAATAAATAAACCTTTAAGAGAAAAAGAATTACTCTGATTCCAAAGACGAAGCACCTGTTCAATGGACATGGAGTGAATGACTGTATGACTGATGCACTGAATAGAAAATCATCCGTCACCTCATGGAGTTGGCTGGTACTCCTTTCCAGGCCTGTCGGTACACGTCACCTGCCACCCCAAACAGCCAGCGCACATCAGCTGGCACTTCTGGGATCCACTCCACAAACCTGGAGCAGAGCAGAAATTATATTATATGAACACTAAACTCGTGTTTAATACTGAAACGGGCAACTTGGTCATGGATCTGACTCTTGCTTCAAGATGCCTTTGCTTAACGAAAGATATTTTCATTGTTTAGACGCATACTCACCTCTGGGCCACAGAGTATGCGGACTGCACAGGAAGTGTGCATGGCATGAGCATGTAGGAGGCCACTCTCACTGGCAGCATCTCAGACACCTTGGCGTACAAACCGGGTTTGTCTTGGCAGGCCTCACAGAACACTGACAGAACATAGAGGACCAGGACAGTTTAAAGAGGACTTCCGAGCTATTCTAAAATTACTAAACTTGGGTCAAATGTAGCTTCATTCTAAAGCCACTAGAGTATGGGATGACACCACACCTTTCTTGATGGACGTAGGCAGAGCGATCTGTTCATCCAGCCACCAGTGCTGTTTACGCAGCAGGCGCAGCCTCCGGAGCACCCACTCCTGTGTGCTTTCCTTTTGCTTGCAGCAGCAGTCGGGCAGGCTCTCCGGCAGGGCGGGGCCCGAGGTTGGGCGCTCCAGCATCAGCAGATCTGGCAACACAAAATGACACACAGTCTAAAGGTCAAGCTAGAGGCTGATAGGGATGCATCATAACTAGGTATGATTATTTGAGAGTCTCCATGATAACACAGCAGTAGAATACTCACCGTTCTCTTCAAGGAAGCGCAGAGCATCCTTATAACCGCTCTGACACATCTCAGCCAGAACCTGTGGAGAGGAAGACAGTACTTTATTGATTAAT